AGCTCAGTGGAAGAGAAAGCACATTTGCATCTGCTGGCTGTAGAGGTTTCCAGATGATTTGTTGTGATCCATTCACTGAGTGGAAGGGAAAACTTTTATATATAATACATGTGCTTTGGTGCAAATAAAATACAGAAGCTGTTGGTCATCACTAAAGACCCCCACTGGAGTTGAATCTTCAAGGGCTTTGCAGCAGGGCAGTGCTTCCAGGTGATATCAGCATGGCAAAAACATGGATTTAAGGTGTTGGGTTACTGTGGGCATCTGCATTAATTAAAGTCTTCTTTGGGCAAGCAAGGAGTGAAAAATTAAAGGGATGCTTCTTGTAGAACTAATCCAGGGCAGTTGTGACAGCAGTAGAAATAAGATCTCACAGGGGCTGGGCAGTAGTAGAGTCTCAGGTGTTGGAGAAAGCTCTCTCCCAAGAATTTCTCTCCTGATAATTCTGCAGGTGATTCTCTCTTTGTAAAGCATGTAAATTTGGACTTCTGTAGTGAGAAGAAAGGGATGGAAAGAGGAAATTGTAACTTCTGATGTTAGAGATTGTATAATCAAAGTGATCACTATGTAAGCCTTGCTTTGCAGGTTATTACTGAATATTATTCTGTTGGAAGTCAAAGAGAGGGTGCCTGTATTAGCAAAAAGAGCCCTGATCAGATGGAGAAAAACAAGATAGAAAGACAGAGAGTAACTATGATGAAATATATAATCCCACAAGTAGAAAAGCATGTTTCACATTTGCCTGCCTGTCAGTCACGTAGCAGTTTAGCTGCTCTGTGGGCCTGGGGGATCATGAGTTAAAGGCTGGGTTCAGCCTGCCAATCTGGCCTCTATCTTGTTAGGACAGACAAAAGCTGCACTTACTGATCCAGTTCACCAGTTGATTCCAGGAATGCTACACAGGGATTCACGTGTATGGAGCTTTATAGCAGCTTTCTGTATTCCAGACCTCTTAAACTGTATTTTGGTGTAGTTCAGGTTTCCCAGTTTGAGAGAAAGGCTGCAAATCCCTCATCAAAGAGCTCCATGTTTCACTAGTCCTTTTGAAAGGAGGAGGAAGATTTGAGTTGAAGGTTTACAAGTCAGAAATTAGGGCTTGGATTGCTTCTGCAGCTCCTTTACTTGGTGTTAATTCTCATTAAGAGATTAATTATCATCATCTAACTCTGTACCTTATTTGTAACTTTGGATTATTCATTCTGGATGCATGTGAATTTTTGGTAAAATTTTGATTCTTTCTGGAAAAGAATGAAGGCAGATTTGAAAATGAATTGCCTGGAAAAAATGTATAGATTTGGCTTTTCCATATTTTAAAGTATTCACCTGGATATGGAACAAAAGCAAAAATATGGAACAAAAGCAAAAAAAGCATTTAACATCTCTCCACAATTCCTGTTTCTCATTCTTTCCATCAGATGGCATTTCTCAACTCTAGCAAGAGATAGTACATTCTCTGCTGTAGTAATTCCATCCAGAGTGAATGAAATTGGTGCAGAGACATTTGCCTCTCTGGCTTTCTCTGTTCCCCCCCTAAAATACCTCTTGCATAAAAGCATTGTGATGCACAAGTGGTGAGTGTGCACTCTTTTGCAATGTGTGGGCCAGAAAGGGATGAAAATGGACATGCTGTGAGACTGGGAAATAGATTTGTATTTCCAAAAGAAGAGAGAAGGGAATTACATTAATAGGACATAACGGCATTGTTTATTTCGGCATTAGTGTTGTATGACTTTCCAGGTACGTGGCAAACTGCCTTTGATTTTTAGCTTCCTTTATATGTTGTGTTACCCCAACAGCACCATGTATTGCAATTGTTTGGAACATGTTTACTAGTAAATACATTTATAGGTCTTATTGTAATGGCAATTATTGCAATAACACTGAGCTGTGGAATGAACTGTTGTGTTTAGATGCCCACTGGGATATTGTTCATCCATTCTCCACTAAGTCTTAACTCTCTACTGTTAGCAAACTTTTTATACTTGAACATCAGGGGATGATCTTGGAGGGGTTTTCTTTGTTTTTAAGTACCGTGAAGGAGTAGAGTACAAGTTATTACTGTTTAATAAAATAATAGTTTTTTAATAAAAAACTAAGAGTGGGCCACAGAATTCAGGGCAACACCTTCCTCTTTACAGTTGTTCTGCTGCTGCTAAGTATTGATTAACCAGCCAGTTCGATTTTAAATAGAAAATAGCCTTGTGACAACTAGGAAGGCTCTTCATTAAAATAACAAAGTACAGGGAAGTGGTAGCTAGAAACAGCTTGTTCAGGGGGACCAGGGCCATTTCCAAATAGGCAAAAGGTAGCCCTGAGCAAGATGTGAACAATAAACTGTCAGGAAAGGAAAAGGAACGGTAAATTTCACCCATTAAATTTCCTTTCCGATGTGTTTGTAACCTATTTGCCTTTCCGCTTTCAGTTGATTTCAATAGTGCACAAAGAAGACTTTCCTGTCACTCAGAGCTATTGTTCCAGAGCCTTGCGGGGGTGGAAGTTGATACAGCATTAACTTATGTCATTAGACTGTACCAGCACTCCCAGCCTGGCACTATTTGCCATTAAAAACACATTTTTGTCAGCAGTAACTGCTTTTCTTTAAGAGTGGGGTTCCTGACTAGATTCTCCTGCTCTTTGGTGAGGCAACCTAAGCTATATCAGGGTCCTGATGATATTGCTGTTTCACTCATTTTGCCAGGTGAATTCAAAGATTTATTTTCTAGGCAGTGTCCGAGCTTGCATGATTCTCTTTTACTTCTCCTTGTGAAAATCACAGGGAGCATGGCAGAGGAAGTGACCAGCATGAGCAGGGAGTTCCTTGAGCAGCAGCTGATCCCTGTGCCAATCAAAAGGGTTTTGCTCTTTTCCTGCCTGTGTTTGCAGGGGTCCATGTGTTATTTTGGATCTGTGTTGTGGTATGAAACAAGAGCTTGCCCTTAAGAGCTTGACTATGATTTTTATATGCCCCACAGTCTCTTGTCTATAATTTACTAGTATGATAATCATAACAACATCCTTTATAAGATGATACATTGCAATCCAGCAATACATTATAAAAGCATTAATATTTTCTGCGTTCCCTGGAGGTGAAAGTGGTGCAATAGTTACAGATATCAATATACATGTCATACATGGACAGAACATATATCTGTGTATCTAAGTTTCCCAGCTGAAAGATGAAGGCTCCTTACTTGTGGAAACAGGCTGTAATCCTCATTAACTCCAAGAGCAGGATGAGGCAACAAATGTGTTGCCATGTGCTGAAGCAAAAGGCTTTTTTTGTGGGTTTGTAGGATACCAGCACAAACTGTAAGAAATTATATGTCATTGTGTGTGTGGCCTACAGGAATTTCCGAGCTAGAAGGAGGTGGAATAGCAGGGGTGGTCCTTGCAAGCACGTCAAGAGCTTGAATGAAGCTTTCTACATCTAAAGGCTCAGGTTAGAGAGAGGCAAGGATGCTGCACATTCTGTTCCAGAGCCATGAGTCAGCCCTTGTAAGGTCAGTGCTTAGCAGGGCTTGGAGGAATCCTGTAGTAATTAAGCTGAAATCTTTAGTGGAGTTTGCAGCTGCTGCGTTACTGCTGGCAGAAAGCTCATTTCTGGAAACACAGCAGAGAGAGTTGTTATTGTTGTTGTGGGCAGCAGGCACGACTGAATCCCTAAATAACTGATGCCTGTGCTTAGCTGTCTTCCTACTGCAGTGGATTTCCTAATCTTTGCTGGTTCACTTTGCTTCCCAACAGTGACACTGCTTGCTCGCTATTTAAATGCTGTTACTGCTCAATGGCTGGTACTGACTGCAGCTCAAACAAAAACAGATGCTGAGGCCTCTGATTTAATTGCTTTCTGATCTACCACACTCTGTGAAGCAGGTAGCCTCGTTCCTAGACAGCCTCTGGTCTGATTTAATTGCTTTCTGATCTACCACACTCTGTGAAGCAGGTAGCCTCGTTCCTAGACAGCCTCTGGTTTAGTCTTGGTTCTAAATCAGCCAGCAAAGCCATCCAGACCTCCAGATTCTGATTCTGCTTGTTACCAGCAGATTTGCATTTATATATCTTGGTTTCAACAAACTCCTTGAAGAGGTTTTAAGGCTTACTTTCCTCGGTGTGGATTGGTGCCAAAACAGCAAAACCACTCCTATCTGGAAACTTCATCTAAATTATTGTGAAAATAATTTGGCAGAGGGAAAGTAAAGGCTGTAGCCAAAGCACTGTAAGTTTTCCAGCGGAAAGACATCTTCTGTTGCTGATTTGTATCATATTTTGGGGGGTGATATAGGATGCAGATGGACATCAGTAAATGCTGCATGCTGCTTATTAAGTTTTAAATATTATTTAAGGAACTTGAGAGAATACATGGCTACCAAATGGAAGATGATTGTTCACTGACAGGATTTGAAAATGAATTTAAAATCCATAACAAAAATTGGGGAATATGCTCTATACGCTTTGTTTTCTACACTGGTTGTGAATGCTCTTGCAAAGCTGTGCAAGGACCACACTATATAAGTTAGGGGTTAAATAACTTTCTTATTATTGTTAATTTAATTTCCATTTGAACTTAAGCCCTTTCACCTTCCCATTCCTGGAGGAAAATAAAATATATTTACCATAATTGAACTGTAGCTTAATTTCTTTAGGTACACAGTAAGCCAGTGATCTCTGGAGAATGTGCTTCTGTTCTAAGCAGCTTATGAACAGAGGAAAGCATTAAATAATAACGCAACTTTCAGATATTTATGACTGCAGTGAGATCACCTGACATTTGAGGCTTTATATTTTTAATCTGAAATTGAATTAATTCAGGGTATTTGGTGGTTATTAAAGTATTCCATGCTTTTTAAAATTATCTATTATATTTTCTCACCTTGTAGCAAAGATGCTTATATAGTGCTCCACCAAATAAAAGATATTAGTAAAGTACCTAAACTGTATGTGATTTTCTAGAGCTGATACGATTTTGGAAAGTAAAGAATTTTACATAATACATACTGGAATTGTTTTTTATTGTACCCACATCAGCATAAATTACCCTTCTTTACATAGAAATCTGCATTTGCCTCTCCCCAGTGCTGTCACTGGTGTTTCTGATGGTCACTTTTCCACGTTTATATGTCAAAAGGCAGCTGAGGAAGTTTTTTGGGCTGAGGTGTGTCATTTTGGGCTCATGGTCAGGCTATGGCAGCCATGGAAGAGCCAGCTGGGATCCAAGGGCATCCCAGGCATGTGAGTGCTGTTGTTCAGCTGGGCCTTGAGGAGCAGGACCTGACCCTGGCTGTGTGCAGGAAATGCTTGTGCTGATCTCTGGCTGCAGCCTGTGGCACTGTCCCAGCATGACTCCTCCTGGGGACACTGCTTCTCCAGCACCCAGCAAGGGCTGGGACCACAGGCACCTCCTGCAGCCTCCCCAGCTGGTTTGTGTCACCTCAGGCAACTCTTCACCCCTGAAATGGGGTAAAGTGGTTGTGTAATGTCCCACATGTGTAATAACCTGCCTTGCCATGAGATTGCTCCCGTGACGTGGTACCTGGGAGTGATGATAGAATATCTACATTCTTCATCAGAGCATCCTTTAGAGCTTGTGGGCTGGCAAGAAGCTTCATCAGAGTGTTGCAGACAGGAGTGCAGGTGTTGAGGATGGGAGAGGAGCAGCTGGAGCAGAGGGTGCTTGGGCTGAGCCAGTTGTGTTTGTGGCGTTCTGTGAGCTTGTGTTTGTGATGTGACAGTGATGGGAGCCCTACCCCTCATCCCACTGCATGTCTGTGCAGAGCATGTTTGATCTAAAAACTGCTGGAGGCATTGTGAAAACCAGGGGTGGCACCTTGTATGTAGCAGCACGTCCTGCAGAGATGTGTGTGAGCACAGGAATTTCCCCTGCTGGGCAGGGCTGTGCTCCAGGGACCTCTTCTGAGGCACCAGATGCATGGTCATGTCATGTAAACACCACCCAGACAAGCAAAAAATTGGGCTTGCTGCTCATTAAGCATCTTTATCACAGTGTGTCTGAGTAGTGATGAAATGCAAGTGCTCTGTACACGAGGAATATAAAATAAGGACTGTATGAAGAAATAAATGCTCTTTAATTCTGTTGTCTTGAAAACCAAATAATTAAGGTGATGACAAAGATGGCTTTTATCTACTCTCAGAAAAAAGGAGGAAACAACACACATAATGTGCCCTAAAGGAAAGGCCAACTAGATACAAAGTTTTTTAGTAATAATTTTCACAAAACCTTTCCTGGAAAGGTTTTCTCAAAACCTTTCCCAGGAAAAAACAAATCACAGCTATATTCATAGCCTGGATTTTATTTAGTTCCTCACTATTCCAGCATGACTATAGCTCTGGCTGCTCTTAGCAAAGTTAGGAAATGAGTTAAGTTCAGTATTAATATAGGGAGTTACATTTGCAAAGCCAATCAAAAGCTTCACACGGTGTTCCAAGATACCGGAATCCAACTCACAGGATTTGCCAAAGCTCTATTTTTATTTTGTCTTCATCTGATGTTATCAAGGTTGTTCATGTTCCAAAAATGGATGAGTTTAGCAATAGCTAGCAGTTGGTAATAGGAGTCAAGAAGACCAAGGCTTTTAACACATTCAGAATGTTTAATTTCCCCTCCATCTGATGATAATAACTTAACATGTAAAAAGAAAATAACACAAAATTATGTGGATTTAAAAAACCTCCCACGCACCTTATGGAATTAAAATACTGTGTGGGCCTGGAACCACGAGTATGTTCACTAAGTATGATCTCCAGAAGCATGTTATATTTGAGGAAAAAAAAAAAATTAAATGAAAAATTAATCGTTGCTGTTTTATCCAAACACTTCACTTTCCTAATATTTTGCCGTGCCCATTAGGTAATCACCCCATTTATGTTTAGCTAAATTTTTTTCCTTAGGGTGGTATCTGTAAAATTTAAATATCTGCTTATACATTTGGGGTGTTTCTATAATTGGAACATAACATTGCAGTAAGTCTTGAAGCATGTCCAAGAAAAGGTCAGGTTTTGCTGAAATTTTTTACTTATCTGAAGCTTTTTCACGCCAAAATGGATTTAAGTGTATAGTCAGCAGAGTGTTTGTGTAAGGTGGGGTGGTTTTGGTTGGAAGTCTGGCTTCCCAGGGAGAGCTGGCACGGCACCAGGATGTGCAGTGTGCTTTGCAGAGTCACAGAACAGCCTGACGCAGGAGACATACCGGAGATAAGTGTGGGAAATCCTATCTGCTTCATCATCCCAGTAGATGTGGAGAGTGAGGAAGAAAGAGCCAAACCCTTCTCAGAGATGTTTCTAGGAAGCAGTGTCATAAATATATACTATAGATGCTTTCTGGGAGCTTTTTTTTTAAAAAAAATAAAAAGCACTGGGGATAGGGCTCAGAAATTGTTAAAACAAGGTAGGATGGCTGCAGTATTACTCTGTTCACGGGTACATATGTTAGTGTGTTTTATCAATAATTAGCCTTTTAAAATTTATCTAATAAAAACCTAAGATGGCCATGGAAGCCTGCTCCTTTTGATGGCACTCGTAGCGCTGTAGAATGAGAGCAGCACATGCTGTGGTACAGCACAGCCACAATAAACAAATCCCCCTGTTCTGACTGTGGGGACAGGTATTTTAGGTTAGAATAGAAACACAAGGAGGAGAAACTGCAAAGAAGATGAAGCTGAGTGGAGGGGAGCCCACATTTCCTGTGGCAACTCGACTTCAATTGCTCCCCATTTCCCAGCAGAGCAAGTGCCCCCAAATCCAGAGCTCTGCTTGGCTCCCTGCTCCCAGAGGCTCTCCAGGGATGCTGAACATGCCTGTGCTGTTTGTAAATGCTCTTTATAGCTTCCCTGCAGGAAATCTATCACCATGTGAAAAGTACCAAATTTTTGTGTTAAAATGTACTCATTTCCTTGATCAAAAGGGCAACGCTGCTGACAGTGAACTCTTTGGAAATTTGAGTTTGTCTGGAAATAACATTGTAGTTGGCAGAGACTAGAAATAGAATGGAGTGTGGGGGATTTAGTAAATATATTTAGGATACAGGAGTCAGTAAGGGGACGCAGAATGACATGGCAAAGATGTACGTGCAAAATCCAAATACACATAAACCAGGTTTTTCACACAGTGGTGGTGGCTTTAGTACAGAACCTTTATGACACAGTTAGACTACAGCCAAGGAATAAATTTCAAAGAAATTTAGCAGTTGTTTTTGTAGTACGTACACTCTGACAGGTTTCATTCATAAACCTCATCTACCAAGAGCGTTTTACAAGGTATTATTACAGAAGCACTAAAGAGATGCAGCAACTGTCAGGAGCTTTTTGCCAGAAAACATTTCCTGAAGAAGACAGTCATGCACAGCAAACCAGAAATATGCTGTTTTTTAAAAGAGTTGTATTTAGAAAGCATCTTCAGGAAGAGGAGATGGAATGTTATCTTCCTTAGGTATACGCCTGTTAAGATATTTTTATCATGTACTGCAATCTAATGCTGGATCATGTAAGAGGGGCTTTGCACATTCCTTCCTCATTTCTGTTAGGAAATTAAATCCTGATAAGGTTCTATATGATGTCTCTTATCACTCTGTAAAGTAGCAATTTAAAGACCAGAAACACATATGGGTTTTTCATCTTTATGATCCAATTTTGACCACTGGAGTTTGTTTCCTGCTGCTCTTTTCAGGAGGGCAGAAAATGCTTTGTCCAAAATCCACTTACTTCTCTGCTGGCCTTGAGTTTGAAGAATGTTCTGTTAAATCCAAAATACGTGGTTGTAATATTGAGCAAAAATTGGCTTCCTGCTAATAAATGAATACAAGGAGTATTAATTTGGGGCAGAGAGCCTCCTCCAGTGGGAAGGCAGAAGGATGAAGGAGCAGCAGCACAGGTGTGTGCAGATGTGTGCCCTCCATCCTCACACTCAGTCTCATCTTCCAGCCCCACTCCCTGAAGGTTATTTTTATTCTCAAATACCCTCAGTGAGACAATTTTGTTACACCTCCTGCTTTTCAACCTTTAGAGTGTTATTCCAGAACTAATCCATGTTTTGCTTTCTGAAAATAGCAAGGAGGACATAATGGAGATGAATATCCAATCAAAAAAACCTTAAATTGCTGTTTTAAGGGTTGAACTTTGAACATAATCTGCCTGCAAGTAGATTACACTTATGGTCATTTAGATACAAATACACTTTTATAAGAGAATTATTCACTCAGGAAAGTGTGCAGAGGGAATTTAGAGAAGATGTACAAAAATAACTAGGAAGCTCAAGGAATCAATTTATGTTCAAGTATTAAAGTAATGACAATAAAGCTTTACCAGCAGAAGCTACAGACACTTCAGTGTCTTGAGGTAAAGCACGATTATTTATATAAAAAAGGGAGAGGAAATCTTGAAACTTATTTTATTTCAGTGTTAGATTAAATAATTGATGGTGATTTGCAAATGACAAAAGGGTAGCAGCAAAATCATTTAAAAGTGGCAAGTTTAGGTATCATGAGGGAGAGAGGAAATGTCCTGGCAGTGTCTGAATCTACCAGGCTCAGGCTTAATAAATACAAGGTACAAATTCCAAGATGGGCTTCAAAACAAGTAGGGTGGAGGTATTTTTGTTGGTTTAGAGGGTGGTTTGTTTGTTTGGTTGTTGTTTTGTTGTTGTTTGTTTGTTTGTTTTTTCCTGTTTTCCAACCAACTCAAGATCAGCAAGTTTAAACATAATATTTCTTCCAGAGTGGTGATAATTTGAGTACAGATATTTTTTATCTTTCTGCATGTTTTTTTTTTTTTGGTTTGGCTGTTTTTTAACAGTAAATGCATTTTCCTGTAAAGGCTGCAGCACATGGGTTCCCAGGGAATAGTTCAGTTGTGTTTTGACTTTTAAAACATTTTATACTTTTCCTCTTAACTTCAAGCATTTATAATGCATTAGGGTCACTGGTTCTAGTGGGAGTGCTGATGTTAAGGTTAGTTCAAGGGTAATTGAATATATTTAGGAGATGTCAGGATAGAAATTCTATAAAAGTAAAGATGCTTTATTTTGAGTGTAGATCTAGATACTAGATGTCTTGTATTAAATTCAGGTTTGTGTGGAAAAAAGATAATATGCAGTTACAGAAGTATGTCATGTGATACTGGAGGGTACATAGTAATAATGAAAGTAGAAAATTAAGCTCCTAACTATCTAAACACACACAAATATATTTATATATATGTATATGCATGCACTGTATCATGATTATGTAAAGGAAGTGGAACATAGTCTTTTAAAAGTGGAAAAGCTTTATCTTTGGTGACACTTCCCATACAACTGTCACAAGGAATTGTAGATCCAAAAAGCCATGTGAACACAGCTGTAGAGTAGAAAAATCATGGAACTAACTTTTTCCACTCTGATAATAAATAAATTATGTCAGAGTGCTCATTATTTTAATTAAATGAATGTGTAGCCATTAATAGTTGCGATACCTCATCCCCCCATCACGCAGACAAGGAGGATTGTTAATTCAGGGCTCAGAAATACAAGAGCAACACAGCTCCAAGGCACCTCAAAAAAATCAGGTGAAGGAAAAAACTGTTCATGTTGCTGTATGGACACAGATTTGTAGCTTACCCATGGCAATTGTCTTGATATTATTTTTAATAGTATTTTGCCTTGTCTTCTGATCACACAGGTCTTACAGATACTCAAGGAAATGTGCATCTGGTTAAACTTGGTGTAACTTATATAGCCTGGAGCAATGAGTAAGTTCTTACTTAATTAAATGAATTATGTAGGCATTTTTTAATTGTCCAAATGCCAAACCAGATACACTGGGCTTTGGATCTCCTCCCTGTTTTTAGAGCAATACTGACTTTGTTTCTTACCATGTTTTTGTGGGTTTTTTTTCCCAGGCTAGTAATCTACAATGGACTTGAGCTATTTTGATATGGTTATCTTTAATCAAGCATATAACTTAGTAATATTTTGTGGATTGGATTAAATTCTTTTGATAGTATTTTAACATGACAATTTGTAATTATATTCTTTTGCTACAGCAGACAGATTGGTAAGTCATTAGTTATTAGGGAAAAGAAATGTTTTTAATGAATAAACAGGGCCTTTCAGATAGGTAGTGTCAAGCATCACTCAGGAGGGCCAAAATAAGGACTTCAAGGCTATTACTGGACTGTACATATCTTCCAGTATTTAAACCATAATTCATAAAAAACTCTGTGGTTTTAAAAGTATGGCAATGCATCATATTATATAATATTAGAAATATCCTTCCCCAGCATGTGCTTAATAATTTGTTTTGGTATTGTTACAACTAGTGCCTTGTGAAAGTGAACCAGTTAATGCCTGATGTGATTTATGGTGCTTTAAGTTGGGAGGTCATAACCATAAATATTGTAAAGGGCTTTGATTTTCAGATTATGCCAAACACTCCCATTTTAAAAAATGGATCTCACTGAAATGTGCAACGCTGGGAAAGTAAACACAACATTTTTAATTTAATTTCCATTCTCTTCTGTGACCATGACAGATCACATGAAAAAGGAAGCCATCACAGCACGTCATGCCTTGAACTGGATGAAATGTGTTACAATATGAATCTCTGGAGCGTTTTTTTCCTCCAGTGGGGCTCTAATTTATACTTGCTCACTCAGGAATAAACAGTGCTATTTTCTGACCTGTCATCTGTCTCACATCAACTCTCTTCATCTTTTACACTGAGAAAATGATGTAGTTGAACTGAATGCTAAAGCAGCAAACTGTGTTAAGATTAATTTTACAGTCCAGCCCTTAAAAATTTTTAGAACTCTTCTATTCATCCTTTCATTACTGTGACAGCAGATTTCCAGTGTGGCAAATGCACACATGGGGTAGACGGCACATGTGTACAGAGGCAGAGACAGAATGATTGAATGAACACAGAGATGAGTGAATACTGGGGGTGTTCTGAGCTCTGCTACCAGCTCTGAACTTCCTGATCTCATTACCACCACCCAGTGGAAAAGTGTGGAGATAATGCCAGCTCCTGGTGTGAACTTCAGGGCTTCTTCCCACAGAAATCCCCACTGCTTCAGCAGATCGGCCCAGGCTCACCCATGTGAAGTTTCTAATTGACTGTGGAATACTTCTGATCAATTTTTTAGACTCCAGAATTTTTAACTCTGGAAAAAAAACTGTGTGCATGTAGGCAGGGAAAGTAATCTGTTTGTAATAAATGGCCACAAATCATCTGCTGTTCTAGATCTCAAAATTTACAATTTTCCTCTTTGTGAATTTCTTTTTATCAGGTTTTCCCTTAATGCTTCATTTATTTTTGTTAAAAGCTTTTAAGTACCTTGGAAATGTATTTTTAAACAAAGCAAGTTTTAACTGGATAAAATTAATTTTAAAAAAAGAATTATTTGGTAAAAGTGAAATCTGCATTTTGTAGTCAACTCCATCTCCAGAAAAGATGAAGAATGGCTACTTGAAATCTCTTTGGATATTGTTTACAGTGTTCATGTGCTGTTTACTGAAGATTTTATACGGCAGGAAAAGTCAAGGAATGGTTTGGATTGGAAGGGACCTTAAAAACCACTTAAAAAAGACCATCCTAAAGAGTCTCCTGCCATATGCAGGGACACCTTCCTCTACACATGGAAGCATTGCCTCTGAGATAAAATCCAGATTTTTTTCTTATGTTTTTTGATAATTTAACTTCATTCATTCTGTTAGGATTTGGCTTGGATGTTTGGTTTAAATGAATATTGGGAAAATGTAATTCCAGGACAGCCTGTTTCAGGGATTCATTTTCCACTTGCTGGCTCCATTTGATTTTCACATAGACACACTCTGTTTGATAGAGGATTTGCTTCTAAGGCAATGTTTAACACAGCACAGTGAATTGCATTTTCAGCATTTGAAATGGTCAAGAGTGGCTTGTGCAGCCATCAGGTGTTTTCTGGCCTTTGCAAAAATATCCTGCTGTTTAATACTATTATAGCACATCAGTTACTTGTTGGTGTCACCTCATATTCAGTGTGTCATTTGCAGTTTTATTTAAAATTTTTATTTGTCTGGTGGTTTTTTTGTCTGTTTGTTTGTTTTTGTTTGTTTTTTGTTTTGTTAGGAATGGATTAGGGCAAAAAACAAAAAGATGAAGTGCACATGGGAAGAGCAAGGGGCAGAAAAGTGTTTGCATTTCTGAAGACAGGAATGTGGTGCTAGGTACAGATGCCACAGGGATATGTGGAAAGAGGGAGAGGATGATTCTTGGCTGGACAAGCTTTTTCTGAATAAGCAGTGCTGTGAAATTATGTGTTTTGGAGGGAGCAAAGCAAAGAAAAAAATAATATGCTTCTTTTGAGATTGAGCAGAAACACTAGTTCAAGCCTTCCCAGTCCCTGTGACATAACACTGGGGGCTGCAGCCCATGATTTGGCTGCAGGGCTTTAAGGCACTGCTGCCTTTCCTCAGCTCTGTGGTACCAGCTCTCCACTCTGCTCAAGTGCTGAAACAGGGAGCCCACTCTGATATCCTCACCCACCACAAAGGATGTGCTGGGAACTAGGCTACCAGAGTATCCCAGTTTCCTCTTTTTCCTGCTGTTCCACCCCCACAGCTGATGAATGAATGCAGTTGTAATACAGCTTATAATGTACATTACCCCATAATGGCCTTTAAAAGGTACACGGGATACTCCCAGCCTTCCTCGTGCTTAATGCAAGGATGATGAGTGTCTGAAATAGGGAGACACATACAAAAGGCTAAGTGAAAAGGGAAAAAAAAAAAAAAAAAAAAGGAGCAATACAAGGGGGCTGAAGGTGCAGGAGATGGTAAAAAGGTGTGTCTCAGGCAGCAGATTACTTACAGGGAGATATTCCTAGGATAAAGTGAATTTTGTTGAATTCAATAAGAATTGCTATGGGAACTTAATTGAGTTTCTTGTGACTTGAGCACAGATATTCCTTTCTATCCTTGATGGGTATGTTCCAGGAGAAAGTGAATGATTTCTCAGGATATGTTAGTTTAACCTGCTTTAAAACCTGTTAACCAAAAGAGGATTGTTTATACTCCTGAATATTTTTTCTGGGTTATGCCAGGACTATTTCATAAATAATGACTATTATTAAATATTAGAATGCAGAATATTGCATATTCACACGGGCAGAAAAACAGTAGGATGCACAAGAATTAGTTTAATTTGTTCACTGGCTTCTAGTTCACAAGTTTCACAGAAAATCTGTCATATCCATAGCCTGTTTCTTGAGTTGATATTTGCTGTCTTATACAGGAACAGTCCTTGGAGATTTTTCCCAAATAGAAGAATAGGAGAATGAATAAATAGGCAGCACTGGTTATTATTATATAGCAGAGATTTGAATAAATAGCAATACAAACAGATGAAACACAGATACTTACCCAGGAGAACAGGACAGAGATGGAAACAGGGAAGATTGATGGTAGGTGGGAGCCATAGGGCTAGGGACTGATGAAATTAGCAATTTATTAAGAATAAAGCATTTGGGAAGGAAGCATTTTGCTTGTTAGGTGTTATTTAGTACTACTTGTCCTTTGTTTATTCTGTGCTTTGGAGGAATCAAGTGGTTTTTAATTGCTTGTTGTCTTTTTCACTCCCTTAATAGAGGAGGACAGTGATTTTCATGAGCAGAAGCTAGAGCAGCTTTTAATGCTGTTGGTCACTTCTGTTTGGTACAAAGCAGAGTGAACCTTTGAAACCTGAGCTGTGGGAGTAGATTATTTCTCTGTTGCTACAAGAAGATGTTCCCAAGTCCTTGGACTCTGAAGAAGAGCGTGCAATGAGTGCCTGCACATCTCTGAAAGGCCAGAGAGCATTCAGCCCTGAAAGGGCCCAGGTATGGCTGCAGCAGCTGGGAGTGAACGTGTCAGCAATGTGTCTGTGCAAGGATTTCAGAGCTAAAGGCTCCAGCTCTTTGAGATGGTGGATGTGTGGAGCTTCATTCCCAGGCAGGAGGGTCCTCACATATCAGTAATGTTCTATTTAGAACACGGAAAAAAAAAAATTCTAGTCCAAGCTGGAATATATTTATTCCCAGGAAAGAGTTGCCTAATTTTATTTCTTGCATAATTTATGTCTTTTCATTACTTTATCCTACCTAAACTTCTGACATTTTTGAGAGATAACCACACCCATGATCCTGTCTGAAGTGGGAACCAGGCCTGAAGTGTGCTGTGTTGTTAAATTTATCAGGTATTTATAATATTGACTTGATTTTCACATGGCAACGAACTTGCCAGTTATTTCTAGATGTACACGTACATCCTCACAACCAGAAAAATCGTGTTACTGCGCGTGTACGTTATCAACACGCTTTTTTTGGCTGTAAGCAGCAAATTCTGATCTCTCACCTGTGTCTCAGCTATCAAAACTTTCCACTTTTGCCCTTTCCATAATTCCTCCCTAAGCACTGAAAAGGCTAAAGAATGAATGACACCTGTCAAAATTCACTATTCGCCGTGTACGAATGGCGGTGACGATAGAAGATGTTCATCAGAAGGAGGCACATCTCAAAAACTGGGGCTTCCTTCATCAAGGGTGCAAACACCAGAGACAGTAATTTCTGCCAGGGGAGTTTGTATGTGTCCCCATCCCGAATCTTCTGGCAGCAGCTCATCTATTTTGGAGGACAAGATGATAGGACACTGCTATTATGTTGCCAGCAGTAAATGCTGACTAAGGGACATGGTCAGATGTTACATCATGTTTCTGGGCTGCTTTTCTAAGGTGTTCCCTCTTTTGGCACTGGGAATTTATCCCATCAATTTTGATTTTTACAATCCAGAATAAAGGTAAAGGAGGTTGGGAGACGAGCCAAAAAGTGTTTCACACCTCGCATGAGAAAGCTGCAAATCACGGGGATCTTATGGGGGGGGGGTAAAAAACCCCAACAAAACAACAAACCACACTAAAGCATCTTTCCAGTAATCATCTTACACTGTGACAAATTCTGGTCCTGGAAGGCAGCTCCGATTTGTGTGCTGCAAAAAGAAAGGAACACTTAGGCTGGTGAAGGAGCAGGGCTGTGCTCTAGGTACCTCACCCCGATGTACCTGATGGTTTTTAGTCCGGTTTGCTGGGGGCTTTGCAGAGCTGAGCGAGTACATTACACGGGCGTCGGGGCTGAGGATCGCAGAGTCTGCGCCAGAGCCTGCAAGAAACCATGGTTGCTGTCCTTCTCCTTGCAGAGCCCAAGCCCTGCGAGGCCGGCTGTGCAGAGCCGCGGGCGGCCCGGGAGCACCGTGAGTAACCGGGGGGAGAGGTGGGCTCCCGAGGAGGAGGAGGAGGAGGAGGAGGAGGAGGGATGCCATCCCAAGCGCTTCCCGACGCC